ATGTCAGCATGGTAAAAATTTGAATACTATAAGGGTAATTTTGTACTTTCTCTACGGCGGATCCATCTCCGTCGGATGCGGTGCGCAGCTCTCGTGATCATCGCAAGAGGTAAAATGTGGGACCCGCAAAAACACACGTGTAAGACGTCCCGGTGAGAAGAGTCTTGACATTGCCAAGGCAGAGACCGCCACGCGCAAGGCTCCACCAAGTAGTAAATTACTATTTACCGGAAGCAGCAACTGTCTGACACGCGCCAAAGTCTACTGCTTTCTCATTCATAACAAGAGAAAATAAATTTCTAAAATTTCTTAATTATTTATTTTTGTTATATATTTAATACATTTTTATTTGGTATTATATACGTACTATAATTTTGTTAAAATATTTAATTAATTATATAGTTTTAACTTTAGTATAAATTTTAATTCAATATTTTAATTTTAATAATTTTTAATAAACAGTTAATACAATTTTTTTAGTTAATTGTTCTAATTTCATCAAAATTTTAAATTAAATATGTAGCATAATTTTTAAATAATTTGGTAAATAATACATTATTATTAAATATTTATTATGTACTACGTACATATTATTATTTTATTAAAACCTTTTATTAATTCCGTAATTTTAATTTTAGATATCTTAATTTAGGAATTTTTAATAGATAATTTATAAAAAAAATTAATTAATTTTAATTCTAAATAAGTACATTAGAAACATATTGTTATATGAATCTAAATAAATTTGTTCGATGATAAATTAAATTTTATTTATCCGTAAGAATATTATCTTTTTGATAAAGTAAAATTCATAAATTATAAATAAATATTATAAACGATAAAGTTTTATTTCATAATATTTCTTGAATTTGTTGTTCATTTCATATTTTTTATAGATTTTTATACGAGAAAAAATAGTAAATAAATTTATATTAATTAAAAATATTTTTTATTTATATTTTAAAATATTAAAATATATAATTATTATATAATATTCTCACGGTAATTTTATTTTATGTTTAAAATTGTAATATGTAACATATTTATTTTATAATCAATTAAAAATAATCGAACTCTTATATTAGTGATATAATATTTTTATTATATTGTTTTAGTTTAGATTAAAAAATTTTGAGGATTATTTAAATTTTAATTTTATATTTAAAAATATAATGGATAATATATTAATTTTCCTAAGTAATCAATAATAATTTAATACTTACACCCATTATAATATTGATGGAATCATGTAGGACTATGAGATTAGTTTAATTATTCAAATGTTAATTATTTCATTACTATGTTTTTGATTTATTAGTTTTTAGGCTTTATTTATATACTAAGAGTATTATTAACTTGCGACATAATTTTTTTAACATGTTAGTGTTCTTATAGGAGTTGTATCTAATAATTTTACCATTAACTTTTTTAAAAATTCGTATAATTTAATAGAACGTAAGTAAATAAATATTATCTGTGTGTTATATAATATTGATTTAATATTAATAATATTTTAAAAATAATATAATTAAAATACATATTATTAATCTAATACATGATGCTATTTATGAATTATACAAACTAACTAATATAATTCATTATAAGAAAAAGATATGATTTATGAGATTGTCGACGTGTTATTTTCGTGACAGATGTCATTTGTTTATAGGTTAAACAACGTAATTTCATTCAATAATATATTTTGAATAATGAAAATCACGGTGATAAATGTTATACGATTTTAACTAATATAATTGTGATTTTTGATAATTTATCATATTTATTATTTATATAATTCGTCTACTAAGCTTGATAAAATACTAAATTGACTATTTTATTCTATTAACCTAGATTTGAAGTCGTGAATTGTAATTGATTTGCTTCTAAAAAAAGATTAGTATTTTATGAAAAAATTATGTTAAGTAATATTTGCAATAAATAAGTAAAGGAAGATCTAAAATGGGGTAACCAGAAATTTTTTTTTTTTTTTTACTGCTT